GCTCGGCTGGTACAAGACACCCTCTATGTCCACCTGCAGCCGGGGCTCAGCTTGACGGGCTCCACACAACCCCGCTCCACGTATGTCCTGGCGACCTCGGAGGTCTACACCCTCATCAGCAAGTTGTACACCGACGCTGACGCCCACGCCCACCTTGATGTCCGTGTGCTGCTCACCAACATCCTCAACCAGGGCGCCACCCCGGCGGCACTCGGATCAGTGCAGAATCTCTCCCAGCCGCCCGAGGTGGTGCTCACTGACTTTGAGACTGGAGATGGGGGTCAGTCCAACCCGGTCAAGCAGCGCCTGGAGCGCTACGCCACCAGCTGCTACAGTTGCCGGCCCAATCTCATCTCCGTTTTGTTGTACCCGGAGTATGAGCTAGAGGCCGTCGACGGGGAGCTACCCCCACAGCCCGAGACCGGCACATCCGGAGAGCCTCTTGAGAGCTACAGTGATGTCGTCGTGGGGGGCACTTTTGACAGGCTTCACAACGGCCACAAGATCCTGCTGAGCGTGAGCTGCATGCTGGCGGAAAAACGACTCCTGGTGGGCGTCTCGGACAAAGATCTCCTGGAAAGTGGGTCTCTTTGAACCAAGTATGGGCCTTCTCCCGGCTCCCCCAAAACTGTTCGGAGAAACCAGGAACATTTGGGGGAGCACTTGAAAATATTCCCTATCCTTTGAATAGAGCGACCTAATTCTGTGAATGTAATTAGGGCTCGGAAAATCCCCGGGCGAGAGAGGCCAACTTCTGCAAGGCCTGGAAATGCATGTTGACATTTAAACGCTTTCCAGCCTTGGTGGAACTAACTGTTTCCAGTGAGGTTTATTCTCAGGGCATGGGGAAAAATCCATATTTCCAAGATGCAAGCACTAAATTTTTAGGAACCAGTTTATATTCTGGAGAAATGTTTCCGGATTTCTAAATATTGGCCTTAGATTTCTATCAGCCCTGAGATTTTTTTAACATATGGGGAAATTATTTTGAGACCTCTCTCTGTGTCTGTTAAGCCAGAACTTGGAACTTTTCCATGTTTTGTCGGGGTCTAAGATATGGACTGGGTAGTGAAGTGGTTATTTATTTATTCATTTATTTATTTCGATTTCTTAACCGCCCTTCCCCGCTTATGCGGGGCTCAGGGCGGTTTAAAGGTAAAGGTTCCCTTGCTCAAAAGCCAGTCGAATCTGACTCTAGGGTTGTGGTGCTCATCTCCGTTTCAAAGCCGAAGAGCCAGCGCTGTCCGAAGACATTTCTGTGGTCATGTGGCCAGCATGACTAAACACCAAGGCGCACGGAACGCTGTTACCTTCCCACCGAAGTGGTACCTATTTATCTACTTGCAATTTCTTGCTTTCGAACTGCTAGGTTGGCAGGGCGGTTTACAACAACATAAAACCCAATACAATTTTAAAACCAGTTAAAACTACAAAATTCCATATGAAAACATTCAGCATAAGTATTTAAATATTTTAACAAGATGGGATATTTCACATACAGATTTTTAGCACTCAGATTTTCATAAGGGGGAGGGGAGGGGAGGATGCTGGGCAGATGTAAGGGAACCGTCGCTGGCCTCAGCCAAAGGCCTGGCGGAACATCTCTGCCTTGCATGCCCTGCGGAACTTTAATAGGTCAGACAGAGCAGGGCACGGATGTCATTTGGCAGAGAGTCCCACCAGGCTGGGGCCAAGGCTGAGAAAGCCCTGGCCCTGGTTGAGGCCAGCCGGATATCTTTGGGGCCGGGAATCACCAGGCATAAACATGTAATGAGTTATTTTGTCTGAGGGTACTGAGGCTTCTGAGTGAGGGGGGAAGTGCTCCAAACCTCCCTCCAATTTCTGAATGCTTAGCAAATACTCTCAGAAGGTTTGCAAGGGGTGGTGGGAACAATGCTCCCTCTAAGCTGCGGAGTATTGTGAGCAAAAATTCTACTTTGTGAGCTACTGGCAATAAAGTTGTGAGCGAGCAATGTGGCTCATTTGGCAGAGAGTCCCACCAGGCTGGGGCCAAGGCTGAGAAAGCCCTGGCCCTGGTTGAGGCCAGCCGGATATCTTTGGGGCCGGGAATCACCAGGCATAAACATGTAATGAGTTATTTTGTCTGAGGGTACTGAGGCTTCTGAGTGAGGGGGGGAAGTGCTCCAAACCTCCCTCCAATTTCTGAATGCTTAGCAAATACTCTCAGAAGGTTTGCAAGGGGTGGTGGGAACAATGCTCCCTCTAAGCTGCGGAGTATTGTGAGCAAAAATTCTACTTTGTGAGCTACTGGCAATAAAGTTGTGAGCGAGCAATGTGGCTGCTGCCTAAATTAGTTGGCTCGGGAGCCCTCCTTCTTGAGCTAAGACAAAAATGTGTGAGCCAGAGGCTAAAAAACTGTGAGCTAGGTCACACTAACTCAGCTTAGAGGGAACACTGGGTGGGAATCACACCACAAACGGTGCGGTCCAGGATCTTGAATTAAACCAAAGCGAAGGCTGTGATTGGAGGCTGGAAAATGACATGTACCTGGTAGCCCAAGTGCAGACGGGCCCATCTGCCGCTGGTGTCTAGGAGTTTGAAATACCCATTCAGCCCTATTGAAGTTTGCCTGCTATGCTACCATCAAATGTGTAGGAGTCCTGTCAGGAAGAAGGAAGCAGTAGCTCTATTCAGTCTTCCATGTCTGTGGACAACTGTTTTGGATTTGGCCCTAGAGACTTTGAAATAATTTCGGTTTTTATGGGATGGAAATTGTCATGGAGTCTGGAGTTGGAGAGAAAACGATGAAGGGGTTGGAGAATCTTCTCTTCCAGAAAGTTCTGAAAAAGACGAGGCCTTTTAGTTTAGAAAGAAGAGGAATAAGGGGGCATAACCCAGGTTTATAGGAGTATGAATGGCAAAAATGAATAAAGAGGGGGGGAAAGTTTCCCTCAGTCATAGAAAGCAATGGATTATCAGGAAGATTAGGAAACATGATTTTTCTCCCCTCAGACCTGACCCTGGCTATTATTTTTTGAAGTTTCTAAAAAAATTCTTGCGGAAGGGAAAGAATACACCAGATGAATCCTAAAACATATTAGTCATTGCGCTTTGAGCTTTATAAGTGAGATTTACATTCTGGTGGGTTCGCAGAGTTGCTGCTCTGGGTCACCTTTCCCCCAAACCCTGCAGATTAGAATTCCTGTGGGAGGAGTGAATCGGGGGAGGGGCAGCAAAATGCGAAGCATTCAAACAGCGGAAGCCCCCTCCTTTCCTCCTTTCCTGCCGGCTTCCCCCACAGCAGCAGCCAGATGGGGGAAGAGCGAATCCTGGATGAGGATCCCTTTTCCTTCTCCTGCATCTTTCCCACACAGAGACCAAGAAGGAAGCAGGAAGTCCCTGTTAAAGACATTGGGCCCTGTTTTCTAATCTGTGTGTTGCTACTGGGAGAAGGCGTGGCGTGTGCCAGCGACAGCCAAAGAAGTCTTAAACCAGAGCACTGACGTTGCTTGCTTAAGACTTTTTTCAGATATAGTAAGCAGCTCTGGCACTCTGATTTGGGAACATTCCTGAAGTCTGCATTCAGGCACCACAGCAAACGTGGTTTGTCCATGAGACATCCAAACATAGTTTGTTTTTGGTGCGTTCCCCTCCCCTTATGGCCTGAGCATGGTTGAGGGCTTCCTGGTTTTGCCAGCTAAATTCAAGCTCAACTTTGCCGGGATGTCCAAAGGCAGGTGAATTGGAGTTTGTTTCCTTCCCACAACAAGGCTGCATTCCCATGATTCCCCCCCCCCTGTATTGCTGTGGGTTGGTGTCTCGTGCATAAGACAGCAGACAAAATAACCTGGCAGGCATTATTAGGTTCAACAAGTAGCTGGCACTAGGGTTGCCAGGTTCCCCCAGGCCACCAGCATGGAATGGGGGGCAGGGTTGCCAGATCCAGGTTGGGAAAGTCCTGGATATGTGGGGTGGAGCGTGGGGAGGGCAGGGACCTCAGTGGGGTACCATGCCATAGACTTCACCCTCCAAAGCATCCCATGTTCTCCAGGGGAACTGATCTCTGTAGTCTGGGGATGAACTGTAATTCGGGGGGATCCCCAGGCACCTCCTGGAGGCTGGCATCCCTTGTCCGGTGCCCAGAGTTTCCATGATGGACAGCTTGCCCTTTCCCCTGAGCTGCTTAGTGCGATAGTCGCTTTTGCTTGACAGCGAGGTTCTTTGCGTGTGTGTGTGTGGGGGGGGCGGTCATTCTGAAAGCTAGTGGGGACTCCTACCCCTCTCAGCACCTCGTTGTCATGGATGCCACAACTGTTCTTCCTTGCTCCCTTGCACGCTTTACTCTGCATCACTTTTCAGCTCCCCTTCCCATCTCTGCTGGAGGAAAAATCTTCGGGTTTGAGGAGAGCTCTTTTGCCACCAAGTCACAGCTGACTTATGGTGACCCCGGGTGGGGTTTTTAAGGCCAGAGACATTTAGAGGGGATTGGCCACTGCCTGGCTCTGCATAGCGACCCTGGACTTCCTTGGAGGCCTCCCATCCAAATGCTAGCCAGGGCTGACCCTGCTGAGCTTCTGAGAACGGACAAGACCAGGCTAGCCTGGGCCATCCAGGGCAGGGTCTCCAGACACTGCAGATTGTCGAATCCCTGGATTTTCCTGATGGGGTAAACTGTAGATGCTTCTACGTGGAGCTCTTGGCCCCTGCCCCCTTTTATTTTGACTTCTATACCACACTGTTGTGCTTCTGCCAACCTTCCAGGGACCTTGCTGCAGGTTCCCCAGTGCTGCTTTGGTATAATCTGCCCTGAAAGGTTGCACCAAAAATGGATTGGGGGAAGATACGGATGGGACAGTGTCGGTTTTGCACCTCCCCACATACACCCACTGCGTGTCTGCCATCCCTGCCCCACCAGTGGGATTTTTGCCAGGTTTTTAAAATTATTGGTCATCGGTATGTCTACTGTACCTAATACTGTACTGTCAGAGGGTAGCCGTATTGGTCTGCAGTAGAACAGTTTAAATTTGAGTCTAGTAGCACTTTAGAGGCCAACAGAAGTTTCGGTGTATAAGCTTTTGGGAGTCGAAACTCTCTTCATCAGCTCTGCTCGTGTCTGACGAAGGGAGCTTCGACTCTCGAAAGTGTACACCCTGAAACTCTTGTTGATCTCTAAGGTGCCACTGGACTCAAATCTCACTGTAATGCCATAGTGGTATACCAGCTACTGCTAAGAATTGAAAACAGAAAAGGTCGGGCTGGTGGTAGGAGTGGGGTGGGAATGACAGGTGGGAAGGGAAAGCACAGAGAGAACCTCCGTGCAGGGGCTCCATTGCAGTGAGAGCGGAACAAAGGGATCGGCCCCGGGCAGAAGCTACCTGTAGATCCAGTAAACCAAAGGAATGAATAAAACACTGATTTGCAACCAATGCTCCCTCTAAGCTGTGGAGTCTTGTGAGCAAAAATTCTACTTTGGGAGCTACTGGCATTAAAACTGTGAGCGAGCGACTTGGCTGCTGCGTAAATTAGTTTGCTCTGGAGCCCTCCTCCCTGAGCGAAGACAAAAAGGTGTGAGCCAGAGGCTAGAAAACTGTGAGCTAGCTCACACTACCTCAGCTTGGAGGGAACACTGTTTGCAACTGTGATAAGTCCACATGGCTGGATTTGGCAGTGGGGGCAATAACTCTGTAGAACCCCCCCCCCCCCCTTGGGCTATCTCCTTTGTGTGACCCCCCCCCCCCCTTGGGCTATTCCAGTTTGGTGTAGTGGTTAAGAGTGATTCCCGGCTCCTCAACATGCAGCTGCTGATGTGACCTTGAGTTCTCTCAGAGCTGTTCTCTCACGCAGTGTTCCCTCTAAGCTGAGTT